TTTTTTTTTTAATCATCTTGCAGACTGTTCGGACCACCTGACAATGTGCTGTACAAAGCCGTTAATGGAGAGACTGCTTTGTATTTTAGTGGTAAAGAGGGATATGCAACTATTCCTGCAGTCAATATCAGTTCAGAGGGATTTACCATTTCATATTGGATGAGACCCTTCCATGACAATAGAGAGGGAGTATGGATACACATTCTTCGTCTTCTAAACCAGCCTCTTTCATTGAAAACTCCAGCTAAAATTGTGGATTGCTTCTATCGTAGTGGACTTCTTTCTACACGCCTTGATATACAAGGCTTTAATACAAAGTCTATTACGATGTAAGTAATGATATTTAAAAAAATGACAACAAAAACGTGCAACAAATAATTATTGCTTGTTAGGGACCCCCTCTGATGAACATTTTGACTGTTTACCAAGAAACCGTTCATACAGACAGGTCGTTTCATAAAAAAATTGAAGAATTTGAAAAAGTAGTAGACCCTGATAAACATTATCTTCTTATGGAACTCCGCTATTTTATGTAGATGTTACTCAAAATTTAAATCGATTTTATACTATAGTCGGGGTGATTTTAAACGATTTTGTGACCGAGAGTAGGCTTTAGTGCTCACGAAATGATCAAGTTATAAGATCATCGTACTGGTTAGTGGTTTGTTCAGTTGATGTTACCCCCTGTTCCTCGTTGATTAACTTGGACGTCCCTTCCCCCAAACTCAAGAAATTTATTGCGCAGTCCCTTAAGGGCTACGCTAAGCAATGTTCTTCTAAGAATCTTTCTTTGATTATATTGGATACCAGTGTATATTCGATTTTTACTAGTTTTGAAAACAACACATGGATGCATGTTGCTCTCAGTGGTGAYAAGTCAACGAATTTGTGGTATTTCGTAATCAATGGGATAAATGAAGTCACGTGGTCGGGAAGCACTTTCCTGTCGATCACTGGGAAGGAAAACTTCCTTCTGGGAGTAAAGCACGCAGTTGATTTGTCAAGAGGAATAACCTTCCGTGGGTATCTAAAAGACATTATGGTGATCAACAAGCCATTGGGCACCAATAAGATACAAACTATTACGTGTAAGTACATTAAACTACCGGGGTTAGTAAAGCTACCTTACGTAATAGGGGCACGTTGTGCACATAGGGGGTCGAGGGTGAGGGAATAGATGGGGGACAGTACCGTGACATATCGCGCCATTTTTGAAAGACGTGAATGCAGCATTTTTAAGCTGACTGAGCTTATTTTAAAGAAATTCTCTCTCGACGTTATGCAAGAGTAAACTTAGTCTAGTTAGGCCCAGTTTCGTGCTCTTTTCAGAAATAAARTTGTTTGTGATTTTTAGTCTGGAATAAACATGGTGCGTGGATTGGTCTCAACGATCAAGCAGACAACTCCCACCTGAAGTGGTCTGACGGTACCCCTGTTGGTCAGTTTATGCCATTCTATAAAGTCAAGCCAAAACCAGCCCTATCTGGTCGAAAATGTGTGGTTATTGGAAGGCATGGGAAATGGTTTGATAAATTGTGCAATATGGAATRTCCATTTATTTGCGAGAAGCGGTTAAACGATTAAAGTTGGCCAATTTTCATTGTTGAAAGTTTTAGAAATTAAGWAAWTCAAGTTAAAGTGCTTTTTAAAAATTGTATATATAGAGGATATTATATGGGCGCGCGGAGACACGGATTTTATCTTCTCGTGTTGAAAAGATCTCTCACGATTGAGCGTAGCGAACGAAAATATCAAGTTTACGAAATGGAGAAATATTATGGGCTTATTGACTGAGGGTCTCAATGGGGGGTCCGCATCACGACTCACGGCTAAAAATTTGGCTTTTTCACGCCTCACGGCTAATTTTTTTCACATTTCCACGACTCACGGCTAATTTTTCAGCCGTTTCACGGCTAATTTTTCTCATTTTTACGATTCACGGCTAATTTTTTAGCCGTTTCACGGCTCACGGTTAACCCCATTGAGACCCTCTTGTATCGTAGTTACTAAAAGAAGGAATGACCTAAAATGATCTAAAATGACCTAAAATGATCTAAAATGATCTAAAATGACCTAAAATGACCTAAAATG